TTGCTTTGGCGTGTTCAATATTACACAACTTTGTCGAAACAGAAAAAACAGCGCTTTTTGGACTCTTGGTGCACGGACATGCAGAATCAAATCGAATTTCCCCAACCACAAGATGCAGTTCCCAATGAAATCATTAGGGAGGCAAATAGTGATCCGAAACACATGCGCGATAATATTAAAAATTAAAAACAAATAATTTTCCAGTGCGAAAATCACATTTTTAAATAAAACCGAATAACACAAGTTTACAGAAATAGAACATTGTCCGTCCATGAAATTTTTATATGAATGATGATTAGGAGCTATTAACTACATACATACTACTAATAAATGCAACTAATACTACTAATAATACTACTAAAACTAATACTTATAATAATAATAATACCAATAATACTAATAATATTAATAATAATACTTATAATAATAATAATACTAATACTACTAATTAACTACATAAATATATTTTGGTAAAAAAATTTAAGTAAAATAAAAGTAAAAAGGCGATTTTTGTGTGGGGTGGAGGGGAGTAGGCGTGGCGCCCAAAACACCCAAAATGAAAGAGGATGGACCACGATTTTTGAAAAGTCATCCCACCTCCTTGAAACCGAAATGAGTAATAAATTACTCAGCCGATATGTTTTTTTTTTTAATAAAGCGTAGACTCTTGTCTACAAGTGTGTGTAAAAGATTTTCATTCGGGTCACGCGTTTGGTCACAACAACCCAAAATCGTTATACAAATAATTAAAGCGTACTATAAAAACAGTTGTCTAAACTCGTCAAAACGTCATGAATCTATTTCATCGCTTATCCCCGGCGCCGAAAATTGTAAGCCCTTGCTTGGAGTTTCTTATGCACAGTTGAATATTAACGACCATGCACATTTTGTTTATTTTTGAATATAAAGGATTGCTGCTGTTACAATTATCCTCAATTTACTTTTTTTACAGTACAGCAAACCATTTGCAATTTAAAATTTTTCTTGTATTTTATTGAATTTAAAAGTGTAATTATTAAATTTGAGTGTACATAAAATTAATCAGATTCATCTTTGGTCTTTGAAGATCCTTTAGGCAATGGTACACAAATAACACAGGATGATGGAGACCATGGTGGAATAATAACAAGGTGTTGTCAGTAGCGACGTGTTTGTTGTAATTTTGACAAGATCGGCATGCTTATTTTCAGTGCTTCCGATCTTAATTTTTATACTACTATTCGTTGGGAAATAGTATCTAAAATACTCCATTTTAGTATTTCGTTTTATAGCGATTTTTAAAGAACTTGGTGTTTTCAGAACGATATTAATATTTAAAATTGCTGGATTTGTATTATTTTTGTCCTCAAAATATAAAATATAAAAGATATTATACGCACACAAAAATCGTATGGAAAGTCGATTTTTATACCTTTCATGAGCATGAAATGGTATTATAACTTTGGTCCGATGTTTGTAAGTACCAGAACAAAAACAACAACAGAATGCTTACAGTGAAAATTACAAAGATCGGGTCACTATAACCTATAGCTCCCATACAACTGATTGTTCAGATATAAAATTTTCCGTTATAACTCCTTCATTTATAAAGCTGGGAACAGGAAATTCCGCACTGTTTTCAATAATTATCAACAGAAAACTTACAGTGAAAATTAAAAAGATCGGATAACTATAACCTATAGCTCCCATACAACTGATTGTTCAGATATGAGATTTTTCGTTATAATTCATCCATTTATTTAGCTAGGACCATGAAATTTCGCGCTGTTTTCACTCATTATCAGCAGAAGACTTACAGTGAAAATAACGAAGATCGGGTCACTATAACCTGCAGCCCCCATACAACTGATTGTTCAGATATAAGGTCTTTTATCATATCTCCTCCATTTATGCAGCTAGGAACATGAAATTTCGCACCATTTTCACTCATTATTAACAGAATACGTACAGTGAAAATAACCAGGATCGGGTGACTACAACATATATCTTCCAAACATCTGATTGTGCAGATATGGGATTTTACTGTAAAACTCCTTTATTTGAACAGCTAAAACCGATAAATTTCGTAAGATATTTTATAAATAATAATACAAAGTCTACTGAGAAAATCGTCAAAATCTATGCTGTATAAGCTTTATCTCCTATAGCACTGATTGTTCAGATACCAGTTTTTGCCATATATCTCCTTTATGTAGGAAACTAAACCCAATAAATTGTGTTACCGGTTTACATACCGATCACATAGCAGTGAAAATCACTTAGATTGGCGCCATATAAAGTATATCTTCCATACCTCTGATTGTTTAGATGTGATTTTTTATATAAGTATGTTACTCCTCTATCGATGTATGCAGATGTATTCAAAATCAGTAATCTGTCAAACTATAATTTGCAGATGTTCATGAAAGGTATGAAGCCTTCGGCATAGCCGAAGACAGCGCTGCTCTTACTTGTTTTATATTAAATATCTTTTGCTGCATTGTCATAATATCGAGCCAAATGGACTACTAATACACTAGAATAGAGCGGCAGCACGGTTAGATGACGATTTCGCTTATATTATCGGTATTTATGTGTTTTAATCTATTTAAAGAATCATATACAGTCTTATAGGAAATTTATTTATTTTACGGCCTTTACTATTTCATAACTTACAATATATGTCCAAGCTGTGTGGAGCTAACGATACAAACATATATTCAGGCTTATAAGCTTGTAACTATACATTTTCCTACATTTAATTTGAAATAGTATGCACAAACGGATTAAAAGTAATAAATAATTAGTACCTTTTCTACTACTTTAAAATGCGTGACCGGAATAGACCTGCCGAAAAAGTGAGGTTAAGTTACTGACAACACCTTGTTATTATTACACCATGATGGAGACTCCCTATAGAAATGTGTTGGTGCCTGGAAGACGTACGGCTGCATTGGTTGCATTGCGCTTAGAAATTCTTGCAGCATTTTAGTATTCTCCTCTCGATCTTTTTCTAGAATCTTTTCCATTGTTTTCATATTTTTTTCCAAAATTTCCTCTTGCTTTTTGCTCTGCATATCTATCAATTTTTCATCCTGGTCCCAAGTAATTCCTTCTGTGATTCTTTCCAGTCTTTTGTAAAAGATTCAACCACTTTTTGGTAAGTCTGCTTCTCTGAAAACCCCAATTATTGAGTATATACATAATTTAGCTTGTTGTCTTTCTACAAACCTACTAGCTCGTTTGAAACTACGCAAGTTATTATTGCTGGCAGAAACTTTCACTTCAGTCAATTCGTCCTGAGACCCATTACTTGATTTTTCTTTTTCAGTATGTTCAGTGGCTTCACCAAATTCAGTGAGAAGTCCATATTTTCAATATCCATTTCAGCAACGTCTACTCCTTCTGCCTCCAACACTGGACGATGTCCCAAGATCTGGTCCAGCAACTCAAAGTGCTCTGATGTCTGCCGCTTAGCTCCGCTTTTATTATTGTTTCGTTTTGCTTTAAAAAAGTCCGATTTAAGACTTTTAAACTTGTTGCGAATTTG